ATTCCAGCCAATTTATGGAACCAAGCGCAGATTGCATTGGAAGAACTTTATGTTGAGTAACAATGACTGGAGATGCAGCAGAGATGGTAGATATGTTCCAATAGATAGTGGGAAGCATTCCATTTGGATTATATCAAAGCAGAGAACGGATGGAAAGCAGCAGGAAGCTCTAGGAAGGCAGTTGTGGGTGGATGAAAATTTGTCCTGTATCCTCTAAACTAGGCAGTTATCTTAGTTACAGTGGCCAGTGTTAACTGAAGTACAGTTCAGTTGCCAATCTTATTAGGTAAATGGGGTGGGGGGTAGAGGGACTGCCTTTTTACCTATAGTAGTGAAAAGTCTTGCTCCTATGGGCAAGTTAACAGTTGTAACCTAAAGATTGTGGGGATTTAGTAGAGCCACATTAAGCTTCAGTTAGAAGATTTGGTCTGAAGTCAAGTTGACCAGAATTCGATAGATTTTGAATTTGATAACTTTTTCCAAATAAATTGAATCATTAAATGACATTGGAAACGTTCAAATCACTTCAATGATTTATATAATTAATTCAATTCAATCTGATTCATTACTTAAAACATAGTGTCAGGATTTCAGATTCCTCAGCAAAAGTCCTCACTTGGAACATTTAAACAACTGTATCATTCCTTAAGAATAAAACAAATGTTTTGCTTCATACTTAAAATCTGGCTTAAATTTCAGATGGTATCAGCTGCTTACTTAAATTTATCTTCTTTCTCTTTTCCAAAAATATATGAAAAAACAAATTAGTTCTGACAGCTTGCATTCCGTAATGGAGATCTTTCCCATAAAGTAGAATTGAGAAAGTCAGAGCAGAATCCAGCAGAAAAGATTGTGTTATTTCTTACCAAAAATTATTACAGTATTACAAACCTGACAAGATGCAGTTTACATAAAATTCCGTTGTTGGACTATTTATTAAGGTTATCATATTTGGGTAACAAAAATAGACACTGAATGACGCTTGATTGCGTGACTTAAAATTCTGGAGTTTAGTAGCCCAAATAAATAAGGCCGATCTAACACCAATCCAGTACTTATGAAAATAGGTATCGCCAAACAAATATTTCATAAATACTGCCTTCAGAGATAGTGGTTGTTTTTAATTTACAAAAAGTAGAGACTAAAGCATAATCAATTAAGGGCAGGGCACAACTTTCCCTGGCTCATCATCACAGGGCTCTGACTCTCTGCTCCCTTCTGTCTTGAGCTCTAATCCTGTTCCTTCATTCTGCTTTGTTTAACTGCCTGGTGGAACATAAAACTTTGTTGAGAGAAAACAGAACCAAAACTGGAACCGAGGAAAAGCTATTTAACAAGGAAGAAGTTTAGAACAGAGAAGTGAACAGAGTTCCCCAGTTATCATCCTTCCCCAGTTTCTCCCCAAAAAGCTTTCTGTCTATCCAAATGGTTCCAAAAGCATGCAGGTGTGCATTTGAGACAGTGCTGATTCCTGATGAGTGCCTTGACTAGTCCCTGCAGTTTTCTTAACAACACTTTTCTAAAGCAGTTTGCCATTGCCTCCCTTCTAGGGATGAGAGAGGGACTGGCTCAAGGTAACCCCAGCTGGCTTTGTTTCTAAGGCAGATCTAGAACATATGATCTCCCAGATTCTTGGCTGATACCTTAACCACTACCCCCATGTGTCCAAAAGCATGCATGCAAACTATTATTAAGTTAATTAATATGGTAGCCATGACCATTTTCTAGGTTCCACTGGGCACTCTACTGATTTTTCCCCCTTGGACCTCACGGCAACACAACCATGCCTGGGCAATGTATTTTTTTCTACTGTGCCCCCTTGGCATTGCCTTCATCTCATATTCAACAAATGCCTAAGATAATCTTATATTACCCTTAGTTGTAGATATGTTTTTAAAGCAACATCAACATCAGCCTCATCAGATGTAAAATCTGTTAGATTTTATGTCTCATTATCTTGGAGAGAAGTCAAGTGACTGGGACCTCTGACCACTGAGATCAGAAAGAAACTAACATTGGGGAGAGCAAATTTCATGCTGGTACAGATTTCTCTAGATTCAAGGATACAGGGATACTACTTCAACCCCGAAGTAGGGAAAAGCTGTAAGCCTCCACATTTTGTTTTGATTTTTGTTTTCTGGTGACTCTTTGAAGTTAATCTACTGTGACTTCATTCTAACAACTGGCCCACCAACAGGTCTGCTTTCCCATGCTTATAAATTGCTTGTGTTGCCACACAGCATGTTTGCTATTTCTAAAATGAGTCAAGGAGTTGTGTCTAATTCTATGGCAGGCAGACTGGTTTTCCTTCAGAATCCCTATGGCTAACTTAAAATGCAGCAGATGTTTCTGACCTTATCTTAGACTGATGAAAAAGAAAAACCCCAATTTCATATGATTAAAAAAAGCAAAAATTGCAATAAAATAAAAAAGGAATAAAGGCTAGGCTTGTTTGTGTATTTCTGATAGTGAAGTAGCAGTTCCATTTACAAAAAAAAAGTTTGATTCACTTTACTTGTTATTGGTTAGTTACTTGCACAACAAGCATATTTATTCCACTTCTTGAGTATTAGCATTTTAATTTGTGCTGTTTAATTTGCAATGCAATGAAGGTTCCAAGAATTATTTTTTTCCAGTTTGCTACCTGGCTTAGAGAAAGTCGCCTTACATCGAATCAGAAGTTGTAAACTGTTTAATTGATTTTTCTGATGGTTTTCGTTTTAGTTCTTTATTTGTACTACAATTGGGCTTTTTTGTTTTTAATTGTGTGAGCATACAGAGCCATTTGTGTGAGATGAGTGGTTATATAAAATAAACACATAAATATTAGGCAATCTATTTCACTATTTTTCACACAGTGTAACAATGCCTCCCCCAGGGCCGTATCCTTATATTTCTCAGGGACAGGGACTAAACCCAGCACTTTCTACATGCAAAGCATATGTTCTCTCACTGAGCCATATATCTATACAACAACATCCCCAAATTTCTCTAGGGAAGTGGAGTTCCAGTGAATCAGCTAAATTATATGGTTTAACATTGTAGATTCATGGAAGCAAGCATAGGAAAGTCATGCCATATGTTTCCTTTAATGATATACAATATGATGAAAATAGTTATCATAGAATCAGGATTTACAGGTATGACTCCAGATCAAGACTCCAGCTTGCAGTAAAATACTTTGTGAACTTAAAGTTTTAAAAACTAATAACTACTAAAAGCTTATTATGGGGTACCTGTAGACGCAGGCGTCTGAAATTTCAAATCACACTGTAAACATAGCTCAAGGTTACCCTTGCACTGTGTGGAAGGCAGAGGGAATGGTCTTGAAGGACAGGAGGAAGCGTCCAAGCAGTCAGCAGTCAGATAAAAGGGTTTTCTACTCTGGTCTAACCTGAAGGGCAAACGCACCACCCAAAGTGTGACTCTGCAATGATTTGAGATGGAAAATTGTGCTTGCCTTGCAATATTGCCAGAAACTTTACACAGTATCATTCTTCCTTCTAGGTGAAGCTGTCCAGCAGCAAATTCTCTCTGGTTTGCAGTTCTTAGAATCCATTTTTGAGTTCATGATGAAATATAAAGCTGCTTTGGGAGACTTGCTGTATGATTTACTGGTGAAACATTCAAGAACATAATTGACAATGCCCTATTTTTTTAATGTGCTTCAGTTGTTTAGGCACCACAGAAAAAAAAACTCTGATGTAGAGTTGAAGCAAGGGTATAATTTTTCTCCCCACAGAGCTCTAAATCTCTACAGCTGTGGACTCCCTGGTAGTGCATTATCAAAGCTTTGCTTCTTCAATACAGGCTTAGCTGCACATTTTGATTCATCCACTACCGGTGTATTATTAAAGACTTCCCGTTCCTCCCCAATACAGCCACACAAACGCAAACCACCCCTTGCGTTAAGCATTTGGATTTCACTATTTAAAAAGCATTGCATATTGCCAAACACAAATCTGACTGTAAGAAATGCTGCAGAGTGATGTCTGATCAAATTCTGGGGGAAAGGATCCTCCTCCTTGTTACATCTTAAAATGCAGGTCAAGCAATAACTCAGAGGGCTCTAATGGACCAGAGTCCTAATTCTGGCTTGTTACATATTTGAAGATCTCAAAAGTGGCACTTTCCACATTTTATTTTAAATCTGGAAAATCCACAAAGCCTTCAAAATAGTAAAACTTTTCCCAAAAGTTTCTGATTGTGTTTAATCCTTAAATTAATCCCTGTTGACTAATACTTATAATTACAACACAGGTAGTCCTTGACTTGCAACAGTTAACTTAATGACTGTTCAAAGTAACCACAGCATTGAAAAATGTGACATGACCATTGTTCACACTTAGGACTGTTGCAGCATCCCCATGGTCACATGATCAAAATTCAGATGCTTGACTCACCTTTATGATGGTTGCGGGCAATTGACTCACATTTATGACAGTTGCATTGGGGTCGGCTAAATCACTGAGGTCATATGATTACCTTTTGCCACCTTCTGACGAGCAAAGTCAATAGAGAAACCAGATTCACTTGACAACCATGTTACTAATTCAACAACTGCAGTGATTCACTTAACAAACATGGCAAGAAAAGTCATAAAATGAGGCAAAATTCACTTAACAAATTTCTCACTTAGCAACAGAAATGTTGGGCTCAATTGTGGACGTAAGTTGAGGACTACCTATGTACACCAGAAGCCTTGTATGAGGATGCGAATTATATACTCTCAGAATTCCAAATATATTCACTGTCCCCATAAAACTTGCTTCTCTTGACTTAAAAAGATTCATGGGCTGCTTTAATGAATGTATTAATCCTCTCAAGTCAATTGCAATAATTTATGTCACTGAGTGGAGGACCTTAGTTACACTATAGTTTTGGAATACCATTAAATAGCAGTAAATCATTTCTCTGTGATAAAGAAAATAAAACGAAAACTTTCAGTCTCAATGATCACATTATCTTAGCTCAGCTTCATTGTCTCCTTATTTTTCCAGGTTTTGGGATGTCCACACCAGCAACAGTAGCGGGCAAAGCCTTCCTTATCGTTTATGGTCTCTTTGGATGTGCTGGAACCATCTTGTTCTTCAACCTTTTTCTAGAACGTATTATCTCACTTTTGGCTTTGGTCATGAAGGCTTGCCGTGAGAGACAACTGAGAAGAAGTGGCCTTCTACCTCCTACCTGCCGAAGGGGCTCTGCCCTGTCTGATGCGGACAGCCTGATTGGGTGGAAGCCATCTGTCTATCACGTGATGCTAATTTTGGGAATCTTCGCCATTACTATAGCTTGCTGTGCCTCTGCCATGTATACAGCTGTGGAAGGATGGAATTACATTGACTCCTTGTACTATTGTTTTGTCACCTTCAGCACCATTGGATTTGGTGATCTTGTGAGCAGTCAGAATGCTGTCTACCAAAATCAGGGATTATACAGATTTGGGAATTTCACATTTATATTAATGGGGGTATGCTGCATATATTCTCTTTTTAACGTCATATCAATTGTAATCAAGCAGGTTTTAAACTGGATGCTAAGAAAGTTCCGATGCAGATGTTGCCCAGATTGCAATAAACCAAATACCCGCCTTGGGCGGCGCAATGCCATCACACCCGGCTCCCGTTTCCGCCGGCACAATTTCTCTATGGAAACAGACGGACAATATGATAGTGACACAGAAGGGAGAAGGCTCTCAGGTGAGATGATCTCCATGAGGGATCTCACGGCTTCTAACAAAGTCTCCCTGGCGCTTCTGCAGAAGCAGTTATCAGAGACGGCTAATGGCTATCCCAGGAATGTCTGCATCAGCACCAGACAAAATGATTTTTCAGGTGGAGTTGGGGCTTTAGCGATCATGAACAATAGACTGGCAGAGACGAGTGATTCTAGGTAGAAATTTTGAAATTATCTTCTCTAACATGAAGACTTTTTCTTACTCTTTATTTAATAAAAAGATATTTTAAAAATTTATTAAATCCATCTCAAGGGCAAATTTCTGGAAGGATTTATGTTTTGCTTGTTTCTAAAAGCTGATTATTTAAAATGTTTAAAGAGGCCTTTTTGGGATATAGTAGTATTTATTCCCTTAAGTTTTTGTAATATTTTAACCAGTAGTGTCAGGGATCATCAATCATCACTGGCCAACTTAGGTCTCTAGCACATACCACTGATATTACCGAGCACACAAAGAGAAATACCAACAGTCAAAGCCATCCCGGTGGTGCTGAAAGTAGGAGAGGCTTCAAACAGCAGCATGCAAATACAGGTAGTCCCGAACTTACAACAGTTCATTTAGTGACCAAAGTTACAACAGCATTGAAAAAAGTGACTTATGGCTGTTTTTCATACTTACAACCATTGTAGCATCCCTGAGGTCATATCAACAAAATTCAGGCACAACCACTCAGCAACTGGTTTACATTTATGACCGTTGCTGTGTCCCAAGGTCATGTGACCCCCTTTTGCAAATTTCTGACAAGTAAACTCAATGGAAAAGTCAGATTCACTGACTGTGCACTTGGGTGCACAGTGGTAGAGATACAGATGCTCCCTTGCCTACCCTTTGAGGCATTCTCTAACTCAGGGTTGCCCACTGGCAAAGTAAAACAAAGTCAAGATGGCATCTATGAGGATGCAATCAAAGCTGTCACAGTGTTGCGGCTGCCCTCTTGACTTTTTGACCATACCCTGCCTACATCTCTGCTGCTACTTCACTCTTCTTTCCCACATTGCTGCCAGACATAATATAAGACTGATAGAATTAAGTGCATTATTGAGTGAGGAAAATGTAGTGTAGTGTTAAGCTAACAAAAAGCTTAACTGTTTTAAAGGATGGAAATGCGGTGATCGTAGTTCAAAACTGTTGCAATTCTGTTTTGCTTCTATATCGAGCTCATGAACTGGAGCAGCAAAGAAATATGGATATGAGCTCAATCTCTTTAAACATTTGTTAAAAAAAAAAGAAAATGTATAATAATTCTTTTTCATCCTACATTATAGACTGAGAGTTACAACTGAAACTCAGGAAGTCCAAATTCCAGTCCTGCTTTATATCCACTGAACAAAACTATATGCACATGTCTAAAGATTTCCGATTTTCTGCTCCATTAGGATGGGGCCAAAGAGCCTTTATCATCATTTCAAGCAAGTGTCACTGATTGTATTAGTAGTGATTAATTTAGTTTATGCTAATTCCAAAGTAAATATTAAAATTAGAGGCCATTTGGCACAAAATTCTTTTCATGCAGTGTCTTGAGTGGCAAATGATCACTTGATCTTCACAAACTACATATGCTGAGATCTTGTGTTTACACCGATCTAATAATTTTGCTATCCTATCCAGCTAATCAATAATCGTGTTAAGGATGAATGTGTTTCATGTTGTCTATTTCAAGCTGCTGAGATTCCAAACAACTGTTACAGAAATCAGATTTTTCCAGAAAAGTATTTAAGATATTGTCTTTGACTGCTAAGCACTGTGTATCCCATGTCAATCAACCGATATAATGTATTCTACCTTTTCCAATTAATGTTCTTCAGATACATTGCATCTCCCAATATTTTTTTAGCCATGCTGCTTGGTTCTATATATAGGTTGGGCGAGGGGGGGGGGAGATTAAGAAAGACCTATTTACTTTCCCTAGCATGTAGATCATCCTCTTGTGCAGAACCCACCTATGAGACATGAGCATTTTTAAAACTAAGTTGGCAACATCATCTGGTCATGTGGATAATAGGTGATGATACTGGACGTCAAAATATGACCACTTATCAGTGAAGATAGATAGATATTAAACTGAAGGGGAAAGTACATCAAGTCCTGAGGTATTCCAAAAGGGGACAGGCCATAAATACACAACCATCAATCCAACTCCACCAAAAGTCATCAACAAGCAAGACCAATGTTGTCTCCCTACTGTATACTGGTCTGAAACCTAACTGAAATGAGTCCAAATAATCCATTATTTGGATGGATCCATTATAATCCAGGATGATGTCCAGAAGAGTTGGATACAGTAACCCTTTCTTGAAGAGGAGCTCACTATCTTGAGGATTAGGCCAGCGACTTGAATGAAAAATGTTGGGTATAGGAAACTGGTCCCAATGAGAGGAGAATATCTATTGAAGCTGCTGCAGTGATGAGCAAAATACAACTCTTTATCTTCTCTGTGTCCCGGCTGCCAGTTCTACCTTCCTAGTTTATTGCTTGGCAGCTATGGGCCTTCTTTTCTCCCAGGTCGTGTTCATAGCCCTAATCTGATTCTTATTCTCATTCTCAGGATTGATCCATACATGCTCAGCAGTCTGTGCCCATTATGGATGAATTGCCCTTTTCCAAGAACAATGATAAAGTTCATATTGGAGGCCATTTCTCCCAGGCATCTCAAGACACATCTGCTTCCTTCATTTAATTTTTTTTTGCAAAAAAAAAAAAACCTTGTGCTTATAATTTCTCTGCCTCTCATCAGCTAACAAAGAGAACAATTAACATTCTATGGCCTACTTTCAGTTTTTAAATGGTGTAGACTTTTTAAAAATATACAGCCTGAACCTATAGCAATATAATAATAATATATTGAAGAATATCACTCTAATAATGAAATCCATTCCCTGAGCAGTAGCATAAACAACAATCAGAAACAGACCATTCTCAACATGCATGTCTATTAAATCTTATGTGGCTAATAAATTTAAGGCTGGAAGCTTAGTTGTTTTTAAAATGAAAACCAATTATCAATATGTGAATTCCCAAGGCCCAGTTTGGCATTTATACAGAGCTTGCATTCAGTTAGAAAACCTGTATAGCAAGATGAAGGGTATTAGTGAAGTGATGGGATTTACTTACCTTCCCTACCAGTTCACAAATGTGAGCACACACACATGCCACCTTCTGTGTATGCGCACCACCTTCTGCGCATGCGCAGAAGGTCACACATTACGTCAGGGCAGTGGGCTGAGCCTCCCACAACCATCGCTAACGGTTTGCTCAAACCAGAGAGGACCGGGTGAATATCACCTCTGGTATTACCATTACAAACCAGAGATAATGATATTCAAGCAGTCCTTCGTTTCATGAAGGGCTTTATAAAACTCCAGGTATGGGAGAATGAATTGCACTGGGCCCCTAACCATAGGCTGCTCAATAACTGATTGGGACCTTTGGTTTCTTACTATAGTCCCAAATTGTGTGGATTTCATTTCTTATACAGCTTCCCGTAACATAAGGAATCTTTCCAAAATGCCTTGTAGATTGGCCTGCAACAACTGTTCCTCTTTTAATACAGTATGTTACAAACTTGCAGGCTACAAATCTTCTCACTAAGGTGACAGCTCCAAGCACCTGTTGTCTTCATTAACTACTCCTACTGCCAGTATTAATGGCCATGTTTTTCATTTTGACAGCTACAAAATTCCAGCAGCCTGTGGAACCTTTCATACTGAATATAAAGCACATTGATGTTAAAAAAAAATAACCAGCTACAAAACAGAAATCAAAATTATTTCGCCCAAACTGATTTTCTTGACATAACACAAGAGATGTTTCTTTCCTTTCAGAATATCTGAAGTATCTGATTGATTGTCTTGAAGTTGTTGTTTCATGGTTTCCACAGCCTTCCTGTACGTTAAGAGCTGCATTTCTGCTCTTTTAGAAGGCTGCCTTGAATCCAGCATTGACTGAAATAAGCAGACGACATTTAAAGAATGCAAGAAATCTTGCTGAGATTACAAACCTGCCTTGACCTGAACTTAACCAAACATGTAATGCAATTAAGTTCTAGGATATTAGTAATTTTATCTAGAAAATTGTTATTAGTGTGTGACCATTAGTATGTTTATGGCAGCTGCCTTGTAACAGCTCCAGCTATTTCTCTATCCAGCATAATATTATTTATACAAGGGCATCCACAAGAGCGGTCAAAACTATTGAGATGATAGCTATAACCATCAGTATTGAGATCCCATCCCAGTTTTATCTGTGTCACACATGTAAGGTATTTGACCCTAAAGCAGGAGTATCAGGCCCACAGGTTGGATCCGGCCAGCAAGATTCTTAAATTTGGCCCACGGGACTGGCTTGGAAATAGCAAATGAATGGACTACAGTGCCTCTGGCAGCCAAAATGGGGCACAGTAGGCGTACAGGCCCCACACCCCCCTATTTTCAGTCTGGACTCTGCAGGCCAAAATGGGGGGCTCCCTGTTTTGGCCAGCAGACTGCTGCAAGAGGCGTCCATCCTATCTCCCGCCCCCCAGCCTGTGGAGGAGAACTACAATGCGGATCAGTCCCTCAGAGAAATCCAGTTTGACACCCCTGCCCGAAAGCCTCTTTACATATTAGGATTGCCCAAACCAGAGAGAGATTGTTCAAACTTTGGTTTGTCTTCTTAAATTTCTACATATTTATTTAGAATAAAATAATTTCACTGCATAAGAACTTTGTCTCAATCACCAGGGGAAAAACATAATAAGAGATGTGGATAAATTACATGCATATATATAAAATCATTGCTCTACATTCTTGAGTTTTAGCGACATGATGTGAAGAACAAAAAAAGAGTAAGAAATAATAAAAGAAAATGGGATAAAAGGCACAATAATGCCTTTTGTTTTTTAAAGGCTCTTGTCTTCTCTTATCTAACCACATTTTTTCAGTCTTCATCTTCCATGCAACTCATTCGCTTTCCTTTCACTCACAAAAGTTAGAAGGTTATTTTGTCTTACAGGGAGCATTACTGAATCACAAAACATTCCTTCTATATGACCAAAACACCTTTTCATGCTGATCTTTCTTTTCTTTTCTTTTCTTTTCTTTCTTTCTTTCTTTCTTTCTTTCTTTTTGCATTCAATCATTCATACAGCATCAATGCACCTTGTACTTGTTTTACGCACTTTTTCAGAACCCATTCCCAATCCATTCAGTGGGAGATATGATAGATGCCTTCAAGTGCCTGAAGGATAGACTTCTTTAGTACTGTTTCAAAATATGAACAATGAGATTTCAATCTGAATTCTGTCAAACATCCTGCCAGGCACCTGTAACAAACTCCTCTGTAAAGTTTGCATTCACTTTATCTATCTCTCCCTTATTACAGTGGAACAGATTCTTCCCATCTGCAGTAATCTTCACATACATATTAAACAAGCTGCATAGCTATTCTATAAGCACACTATGGTTAT